ACTCCATTTACTAGGCAAAATCTTTAGGATGTCTTTTGTTGAACCTAATGTTCTTAGCTTAGATAAGCTTTTAGTGGCAGTTGAGCTTCCATCTCTTAGCAATGGAAGCTTACTTCTCTCTTACTTTCTGATGTCTTTTGTTTCAATCTTCTTTGATGAGCTCTGTGCATTGACTCCAAAAATTCTATTATATTACATATACACTAGCTAGTATTAGCACTTTATATAATCCATATGAGTTGAATGAATTTTGACTTGAACGCCAATGTTATATGCATGCATATTGCTATGAAAAATGCTGAAATGCCTGCCATCATACTTTTATGATTTGACCTGAATACATTGTTGATAACTTAAATGCAAACACAATTCATGTGTACTATCTGAATATATGATTTGACCTGAATATATTATAAAAAAAAGTAATGCATAAATTTAATTGAATACACTGTTATAGGCTCCCTGCAAAGCATTGAATGAGCTAAATAAGTTTCTTATATTTTGAACTGTCAATGGATAAATCAGAGACAGCCATTATAATCAATTGCATAACTTGGCATAAACCAAGTGTTAATGTGGTACATGTTTTCTTGAAGGAAAGTTACTAGTGATTTATTTTTTTTCTAAAATAACCTGCAAGAATTACTGAATTTTTGATGGGCAGAAAACATTTTGGATCAACAAAATAATTTCATGATTTCTAGCCCTTACTAATTTTCATTACTAGCAGCTGGGACAAACCAAAAGCAAATATGAAAAGTAGAGTCAAATGAGTGTTCAAGTGTGTAAAGAAGCTTCTATGATGTGAAATTAGAGTACTAATAATTTAGCTAATATATGATCTTTGCATCTAAATAATCTCTCTCTCAAACACACACACATCCATTTATTTAATTATTCTAATTTTATCCAATAATTTTTCATCAAAGAAGAGTAGAAGTAAATTAGAGTGCAATTTCAAGTCAATGGCAGCCTATGCAGCCTATATAAATAACCTAAGGCGACCTCAGCTACCATACTACTGCCAAGAATCTTATCTAGATTACAAGCTTCCGCTTTTTCTAGTAGATAACAAGTTTTGACGAGAAGTAAATAGAAGACAATTCAATCCTCTCCCTATAATTTACATGCAAGTCTTCCTTTAGCAATTCCCAAACTCCATCCTTTAGAATAAAGAGTTCAACACCACTGGAGAAGTGGTCAAAGGAAAGGAGAAAGAAGAAGAAGAAGAAGAAGAAGAAGAAGAAGAAGATAATTCACTTATTGTGAAGGGGATCCGGGCAACTTGGCACTACTCGCTTGTTTTCATCCATGTCGGAAGCCGGGGACGCAACGTCGGGTGGCGCCGGTCTTCTCCCTATGACGGTCACCCTCTCCGGCACTCTCACCGCGCCGCCGCCGCCTGTCCTTGGACGAAGTATCGGAATTGCCACTGCTTGACAGCGACAGCAGCGGCAGGAGACCAAGATGGCGCACAGCATGATCATCGCCAGGCAGAAGAGAGGCCTTCTCCTCCTCGTCTTCACGCACTCAGCTGCCGACAGCATCGATCACAAAGCTACTGTAAGTTGCTGCTGCTGCTGATGATGATGATGATGGTGATAAACTAGAGAGAAGCCATGAGAGTAGATGAAGAGAGAGGGCGGGGTTTGTGGTCTTGTTTTAGTGGGGGGCGGGGGGTTGTCTCAATGCATGGCATGGCATGGCATGGCAATTGGCATTGTGGTTGCAGATATCAACCACATGGAGTACGGAGGCCCGCGTAGGACGGGCGCTGTTTGTCCTCATCTTTCTCTCCCCCTTTCTTTCTCCGATCGGAAATGGCCGGAGGACTGCCACGAGCGAGTCCATAAACAATCATGCTGATGTGATCGCTGCCTGTCCACCCCATGGCCCACGGTGGGGCTTTTACATGTGGAGTCACATGTCCGGTGGTTCATCTCCTGTCAAATTTGACACAGACATGTCGAGTTCCCACCCAATGCTGACACCCATCCCAGTCCAAAAGGCATTTACTTTGGAGAAAACTGTCGCAATCATTTTGGAGGCGATGATGGAAAACCACTGCAATCATCTTTTTCTTGAGCTCTGAATCACTCGCAACAGCTGCGGCTCAATCTGAGACAACAGTGATCTCATGATATACGCAATCATTTTTTTTGGTGTTAGGAGAGAACGCTGCAATCATCTTCTTCTTTAGCTCTGAATCGCTCGAGCAAAATGCTGCCTCAATCTGAGATCTCATGATACACGCAATCATTTTGTAGGTGTTTGTAGAAAACACTGACTGCAATCATCTTTTTCTTGAGCTTTGAATCATTTGCGGCTGTTGCAGATGGTGATCTCATGATACATGCAATCATCTCGGTGTTGTTAGTAGAATACACGGCAATCATCTTTTTCTTGAGACTCGAATCATTTGCGGCTGTAGCAAATGCTGGCTCAAAGTGAGATAAAGAGTGATATCATGTCACATCTTCTTCTTAAGGTTTGAATCATTTGCAACAGTGGGAAAAATGCTGGCTCAAAGTACTGAGCCGATTGAAGGTGATCCCATGACATGGCAATCATTTTGGAGGTGTTAATAGGAAACACTGCAGTCATCTTTTTCTTGAGCTTTGAATCACTTGCAACTGTAAGAAAATGTTCTACAGCTGTCATAAATGCTGGCTCAAAGTGAGATAGCAGTGGACTTTGAAGTGTTAGCAGGAAACACTGCAACCATCTTTTGCGTGAGCTCTGAATCCATTTGCAACTGCTGGCTCCAAGTGAGATGACAGTGATCTCATGCCATTTTTGGAGGTGTTGGTAGAAAACACTGCATCCATCTTTTCCTGGAGCTTTTGAATCAGTTGCAAATGCTGGCTCAAAGTGAGATACAAGTGATATCATGACACTGCAACCATCTTCTTATGGAGCTTAATTGGCATCTTAAATAACCATTAAAGACCTTCCTGACCACATGAATCTGCCTCACACACTTGCACTGACGATGTTATCTTTTACCTTCCACTGGTGTCTGTGGATGCAGAGGACTAAATCTTTTCAAAGATGGGAAGAAGCAGTGAAGACAAAAGTTTGGCAGGCCTTCACCTTCCTTGGCCCCTGGCGGGGTATAATAAGAAAGTGATTTGAAAGGCAGTCCTGAAGACGACAATGTCTTGGCATGAAAGATGAGTTTGTGTCATCCTGAAAGCCAACACTGCCACCAAGCCTTTCTCCCTCAACTGGGAACCTCGTGGGGGCTTCTCTTCTCCCCCTCTGCCACCCAATCTCTTTGGCCCCTTGTGCTCGTCCACTTCCCTCTTTTGCTCCTTTCAGATATCCTTCTCTTCCTGCAGCAGCAAAACCCCACTACCCCAGTGTTGTTTGTGTTTTGCACCAACATTATTAGTCTATAATACCTCATTTGCTTTGGTACTTCAGAAGAAAAGATACACAGACACACATCTATGATTGCCGTGACTTTGGCCACATGGTTTTGTCTTTGAATTCCTTGGAAGAAAAAAGTCTGTGGGACTCTCAGTTGTGAATCTAAAACCTACTTTTGGAGTCCCACTGACATGATATATGAACATGAAAACTGAGCTTATGCATGCCCAGACTAGGCCAATCTTCTCTGGAAGAAGGATGAAGACATAATAGACTCTCGATTCAGTTCCTATTCATGAAAACTCCAAGTGAGCTACCTGCTCAACAAGTGCATAAATTATTAGCAAGTTTTGGCAGATCAATGTTTCATGTTACAGAAGCATTTGTTGCAAGCTCTCGTGGTGTATGACTTTTAGTAGAGCAGACCACCTCTTTATTTCTCCAGCTCTCTACACCGATTCCTTTTCTCCTCTCTGCTACCACAAAACTCTGATCATATGAATCAACTTTTGTCCATTCCTTCATCAGGATTCATTTTTCTGATCGCGTCAGTCAACTCGAAATATCGCAAGCATAAAACCTCAGATTGTTCTGCCATTCCACTGAGACCTTCCAAGTACAAGATTCCTTACAGCCTCCTCCACCCCTTGTTCCAAAGCAGATCGGGAGACAAGAAAAGAACAAAACAAATGCATCCTAACACAATCTGAGGCACATCCAACTTCTGACAATGATCCTGTCATTTCCTTCACTTTATGAAAACACAATCTTTAATTAAATTCATGGACAAAAGGGTGGGTTGTAACTCTTCAGATTTTTGTTGCATCACAGATTGCAGATTGAATAGTTAGCAGCACTATCTTTCACTAATGATCATGATGATTAATGGCCATACATTTCACACCAATTCTCTTTACTTTTTTTGCTTACTAATCTTGTTTGGTAAAAAGAAAAACAAATTCCTAGAAACATTAAATAAAATGTATATATATACATATCTATCCCCTTCAAAGTCAATAATTTTCGTATTTATCCGGCTAAAAATAATTTTAGCATATATATATATATATATATATCAATGTTATTCTCTATTAATTGATCATTAATTATAATTATAATTTTTTAATACTAGGTGGTTAATGGGTTAATAATATCTTGATATTTAAAGGGAGACACATACTATATTAACATATATAAAGGCAAATATGTAATTTTTCAAACTGGAGAAGGTTAGATATGTACTAAGCCCTTCAGACCTGTTATAGATATTTTTGAAAATAAAAAATATTATTTTATTGTTTATAACTCCAGTATTAATGATTTTATTATTATTATTATTATTTTCACAACCTCGAAAAATAAAAAAAGAGTATTTATATTTATTTACAGTAATTTAAAAATATTAAAAAAATTTAAAATAAAATTTTAAATAATAGAAAATATAAATAATCTCTAACAAAGAATGAGAAGGTTACCCATCGACGAAATATTGAGGATTTGTAACAAAAGTAGCAGCATCAAAGATGATACAACTGTCTTTTTCTTTTGACACGTGTGCGGAATAAACCCTGTCCCCACAAATCCTGTCTTCCTCCTTCGGCAACTCACAGCACCACCAATTCCTCTCTCTCTCTCTCTCTCTCTCTCTCGATGCGCGCGCGCACACGCACACAGGAACGTCGGTCAAAGATGACGGACGGCAAACATGCCATTCGTGGCCCTCCCGGCTGGGTCGCTGCGTCCCCTGCGCTTTTTTGGCTGAAAAGAAGCATCTTTTCCATCCAAGTGTCGCATTTCACCCTCCAAATCTTTTTATGTTGAAGAAAATGCTGCTCTCACTCTCTTCCGTCGAAGCTAGTGGAGCTTCCAACGTTCCTGCTGCTGCTGCTCTGTTTTATTCTCTTTCTCTCACCTGCTGATGCCAGGAAGGTTGGGCTCTGTCACATCCTTTGCGCTTTGGGTTAGATTAACCGGTTACAGTTCTCAAAGATCGACCTTTTCCTCTCTTTCCTGATTCATTTCCATAGATATTTCGGTCTTTGAGGTGCCAACTTTTGTCTGCAAGCCAACCTTTTGCCAACAGGTAAACAGTGTCTTGTGGAGTGGTTTTTCTTCATCGCTGTTGTTTTGGGTCTCTCCAGCATCTGTTCTGAACTCTCCCCGTCACCGAACGGTTTCAATGCTTCTCTATTTACGACACTAGTGGTTTCTGCTAAAGGAGGCGTCTCCCTCCCGAGTTCCGGAGTCGCAGAAACAGGGTTTCGACTGGTTTTGGCGTGGTCCGGAAGAGGAGGTCGGGATCGTACAGGTTGCCGATGCCGGACCGTCTGCGGCTCGGAACGGCGATCAAGCACAACTCTTGCAGGTACAACTGTGGGTTCTTTTACTGGAGGGGCAGTCCACTTGCAATTGATGCATTTCTCAGGTTTGATGGCTGATTTAATTGACTTAAAACTCTAAAATTATCTGACAGATTTCGATGCCCGATTTGATGGAGAATCCCATTGCAGTTTGACAGCCCAAGATGTGCGAAGATGATAATTGGTCGATTGCAATGTTTTCTAAGAAATGGAATTACATATATTTATCGCGAAATTCAGAGAATTAACAACAAAGGTGAGAATTATTACTTGTCAAACTTTGTTTCCTCAAGTTCCAGAGTCATAACAAGAATCTAACAAGAAAAGGAAGGAAAGTTGAGGATATATCAAAGATTTGTGAGGTACTTCTCATGACTTTTTGATAAAAGATTCAAAAGTAACTCAAGCTTGGTCTTAAATAACTTTAATAATGTTGTTTTATCTATCAAGGCAATCAGATTAAGGAGCATTTATTTGTCTTCCCTGTTAAATCTTTTTCCTCTGCCACTGTGTTGGATTTGTTTTCTCCCAATTTTCTTACTCAAAATGTGCATGATTAGTGATTAGATTGTCATATTACTTCTTGAATCATGGATGATTTTTCCTGCATTATTAATAAGCAGAAGCTGTTCCTGTGGTTAGCTATTCAGATTCCCTTGCTTGATCTACTCCAAATTTAACTAAAACAAGAATTGTTTATGAGCTTATTGTCTTCTGCATTGTTCAATGTATAAAAGAGCCAATTACTAAAACTTCTTTTGCGGTGGCCTTACCAGGTGTTATCAAGATCTATAAAGCTGTTAGATTGGCTAATTATGGTCACTGTCATGGAGTCTATCTTGTATGAGTATGCTAGTTCCGGCTTGGTTGATTATTTCAGATCTGATTTAAGGAGAAAATCTTTGGGGAAATGTAATCCATGTAGGTCGTTATAGATACCGTAGTTACTCCAAGATGTTAGGACATCATGTAAGAATTGCAAACTGTTTAGCAGTTGAAACAAACAGAAAACAGTATCTATGTTTCGACGACCTCTACTGCTAATTTTGTTGTTCATGTGGTTCATTTTGCATTTCAATGACTTCAAATATTTTCTTTTGGGGTGTTGTCCCCCGTTACTATTAATATGATAGACAATTACTTATATATACCCTGTTGGTATTGTTGTTGATGTTGTCATCATAAACTTGAATAAGCTAAATTTGTGCTGCTATTTTTAAGTGCTGTTATGCATTTGTTTCATATTCACATTATCATGCTTTATGTTTCATCTTATGCAATTTATAGAATGCAACCTTTACTGTCTTCATCTGATGTGCCTCATTTATTGTATATTTAGTCTTCTTATATCACTCCTGCCCTTTAGTTAGATGGAGGACAATGTCTATTGTTGCAATTGTTCCCACTGCTCTGACGGCAATTGGGGTTATGATCTTATAAACCTTTCCTCCTTGTGCATCCAACCTCTATGTCATCTCCTGCATAACAGCAAGGGAAGCTTTTCAGGCTGAAACAGCTATTTGCAAGATGTGTCCATGGCAGCTTATGATTTTACAACAGCTATGCTCATACAACAATCAAGAACAGATACAGGTTATGATTTTACTATAATCATAAACACAGTAATGCATGCCCGAAAGATTATCTTCCCAAATACTTTTTGTCTTAAGTAAACATGTTCTACAAACTTGTTTGATTAACTTGAATCCCTCTGCACAGGTTTCCAGTTTTGTTATCAGTCTCTGCTTTTTGAGCATAGTGAACAAGTTTGGCAAAAGTATGCCTTCTTGCAGTTCTTGTACATATCTGGCAATTCGTGGAGACTAAGCGCCGGTCTTTGAAAGAGATCGAGAGTGCTCTTATTGCAGCAGGTTGATATAAGATTACCCAAATCATTCTGCCAATGAGAAATTTGTCCTTTTGGTTTTTCAAAAGCTTGGGCACATCGAGGATAATGTAGTCCTGACTCAAGTAATTCAAACCTGATGGCCCTCAAAACTTTAGAGAGGGAGAGAGAGAACTTGGCATTTGTTCTAATTGAAAGTCTTATTCTCAGTCATAAGGTTTATTGCAGTAATGTGAACTGAATGTTTAGTCTGTCCCAAAGACATGGATTGGACTCAATCTTCAAGTTTCAAACTGCAGTTTGATTGAAACTGTGAGCTTGCAAGCTTTGTCTGCACATCAGAATGTATAGCAGCTACTGCTACTTTTGTTGTCTGCTCTCCTGGTCAGTTGACCAATTCTTATTTGGTCAAAAGAAAATAATACACTTTTGTTTGTTCTAAGTGATCTTGTGCTTATGCTAAGTCTTTTTGAGAGGAGTTGATGTTATTAAACTAATTTGAGATTTTGTTGTGAAAATAATTTGGAAACTCATGTTCAACTGTTTGTAGCAATCATTCTTTCTCTGCAGACAAACCATATTTTGATCATACTGAACTTCCCAATTATGCCAAGCCTCTTCTACTTGGCAAAAGTAAACATGGAAGTCAATTCTGGTGTTCTTAATTCTTGTGATGTGTTTTGACACTGTGTGGTTCCTAATATAAGAATATGATTCTGGTCAACATCACATGTGAATGCACACTCAAGAATTTGAAGCCCCATCACCATCAGTTAGTATGTCTTCCTCACAAACATAGCATCAAAACCATGAACATCACATGAACTTTGAAAGCTCCTACATTCATTATATAGATTTCTTTTCCAAAACATGAACAACACAAGGATCGGCACGGATCGATTTTTAACTTTTTTTAATATTTTTAATTAATATTGATCATAATTAATTGATGCACCGTCCAATATGTACCGATCCGATAGATCACCTTGTCCCCTAGGAAGGAAGGACTGAACCTGGATCATCTGACTTCTGATGACAGTAAAAGTCGTGATGGTCTCGATCATTCATACCGGAATTCCAACTTTCTAGTGAGAAAACATGAAACCGATGTATCGTTCATTCGTTTGTCTGACTTGACTGAATCTTTTAGGCAAACCCAGTAACACGGAAACACAAAGAATTGAATGCAGTTCGTAGATGCAGATCACGTGGACATACACATCTCGTTGGTGTTATCGTCCATGTCGTGATCACCTGACAACAAGATGTTATCAAGAACGAACCCACAGGAACACGGAGAGCCAATTCCGCGTCTTTCAAGTCTTCTGCTTGCAACTGTGTCCGCGGGAATTTCCATCCTCGTCAGTCGTCGTCTTCTTCTTCTTCTTCTGCTCAGGAACTGGTAGGTCAACTCCGTCATGGACTTCTCCTCCTAGCATGCAGCGATATTATATGACGGGAGAGAGCGGAAGTCAACGCCTCTATACAGTATTTGTGACTGCCGTAAGATCTAGAAAGGAACAAATGAGAAGAACAGAGAAGTGGATCTTACTGAATCGACCATTAATAGAGACAGATAGTGCATGTTCTTGTCAGGGAAACACCTAGAGTGTTGGAACTAGAGCAATGCAAAATGACAAGTCTTCTGATACTGAAAGCTCGTCAACTCCATTTGGAGTTGTGTAAGCTTATAAATTATAAGCTTGCTATTAATAACCTATTTTCTATTTCTATTGGTAGCCTCCTTATTATTGGAAATTTCAAAAAAAATTAATTTTACTATTTACAATGATATGATAAACACAAGGATTATATATATATATATATATATATATATATATATATATATACATATATATATATATGTATATATATGTATGTATATATATGTATGTATATATATAGTTGCAAAGATTAATATGTAGGAGGAGGTGAGCTTACGGGAGGGTAATCGGATAGCAGCTGTGTGTGTGTGTGTGTGTGTGAGAGAGAGAGAGAGAGAGAGAGAGAGGGAGAGAGAATTGGTTGACTGTTTTGTGTTGTATTAGGTGATATCAAAGAGAAGAATAATAATACTAAGCCATCAATGAGCAACACAACGCACGGTCTCTCTCCTTTGAACAAGCCATACTTCCACCTTCCCACCGTGTTCTTGGCAGCTTCTCAGTCCCCCACCATGTCGGCATTCGTTTATAAGACCACGTCCACCTTCTGCATTGATTCCGCAGTCCTTTTGACAGTTGCTCCTGCAAGCCTTTCGATCTCTCATCTCCATTTCCTTCTCTTCAGCCTATTGAAACCTCTCTCTCTCTCTCTCTCTCTCTCTCTCTCTTATTCCCTTTCTTCGTAATTTCTTCCTCGCTGAGAGTGCTGAACATGGCGGGCAGACGGCTCCGGGGCGACTCCGACGAGAGCCCACCGGAGCAGTCGGAAGAAAAGAGGATGAGGCGTCTGCCTTCCTTCTCAACGTTTGTGATTCTTTCTTTCTCATATACTGGAAGTAGTTCTTCAGATCTTTGTTGATGCTGGAGAAGTTGCTTCTCTCATTACAAGATCTCATGCTTGTTAGTCTCTTCATAAGGCACAGTTGGTGGCTTGGAAGAAGCTGCTTCATATCTTTCTGTTCTAGTTGTAGGTTACTTGAACATCTTGTAAAAGGTGATGTTCTTGATGCGAGTCTTCATCTAACGCTCAACCTCTCTCTCTCTCTCTCTCTCTCTCTCTCTCTCTCTCTGTGTCCCTCTCCCTTTGACAGAGTGACAGAAGAAGCTGCGGTAGCAAACAAGTTGCAGACTGTGCGCTGCGCATTGGAGCCACTGCTTCGCAGAGTGGTATCACAAAGCATTACTATGACATGCAAAGATCTCATTCCATTTCCTTCTTCTATATTTGCTCGCCAAGCATGTAGAAGAGACTTTAATGAGCCAAACAAATAGATGATCTGATGACATCTTCATGTGTTCTTCTAGGTCCGAGAAGAAGTGGAGAGAATACTCATCCACAGCACACGTTTATCTCAGAGGTAACACAAGAAGAATGATGTGTTTAGCAAACGCCTTGTTGATTACAGACTCTTGGATCATCCATAGCATTTGACATGAACAAAACGGTAATCTGGAACTGTGTTTACTCTTCTGCAGCTGTTTCCCAAAGCATAATGAAGCTGCAGAGCCATCAAGCCTGAAACTCATCTTCGTGAACCAGCCATCACGGCCCATCTTCACTGGAGGCAGAATTGAAGACACCGAAAACAATCCACTGCAGATCCTCGTTGTCGATACGAAGAAGAGCGTGGGAGTTCCTCCGTCCTCCTTACTCCCATCACCTCTCAGAGTAGAACTCGTAGCACTGGATGGAGACTTTGTTTCCGGGGATGAGGACGACTGGACCAGCCATGAGTTCCAAAGCAAGATAGTGAGAGAGAGAGCCGGGAAGAGGCCACTGCTCGTTGGAGATGTTAATGTCACGCTAACAGATGGAGTCGTGCTCATACCCGAGCTATGCTTCACTGATAATTCTAGCTGGACGAAGAGTGGCAAGTTCAAGATCGGTGCAAGAACTGTGCCCGGGAGCTACACCGGACCAAGGATTAGAGAAGCCATGACGGAGCCTTTCAAGGTTAAGGATCACAGAGGAGAATGTGAGTTCACTGTCTTCATCAACTTCAGATTAGCTGCTGCAAGGCACGAACTGATGAACTGTGTACCTGCAGCATACAAGAAGCATCATCCACCAGCTCTGGGCGACGAGGTATGGCGGCTGGAGAAGATCAGCAAGGACGGCGTGTTCCACAGGAAGCTCGCCGCCAACAACATCAACACGGTGCAGGACTTCTTGAAGCTGTGGCACGTCGACCCGGATCGCCTTCGCCAGGTAGAGAGACCTCGACCTCGTTGTTGCATGTAATAACATAGAACACCTGAACGACAAATCCTCGTGCGGCTCGTGCATCAGATTCTGGGAAAGGGGATGTCGGACCGGACGTGGGAGGCGACCATCGGGCACGCGAAGGAGTGCGTCGTGGGCGACAAGCTCTACCTGCGCCGCAGCCCCAAGTGCGACCTCCTCCTGAACCCAGTCTGCGAGGTGGTGGCCGTCGTTGCAGGCACCGCCGCGTTCGCCCCGCAGCAGTTCAACAGAGCTGCTGACAGAGTGAGCACCGCGACCACCTGCTCTGCTTGATGGCGAGCTCCTCATCTCCCTCCACACCACTAACTTCCCCATCGTCCCGCAGGCTTACATACACCAATTAGCGCGAGAAGCGTACGCAAACTGGGATCATTTGGAAGAGTACGAAGGATCATCTCATGCGACCAGTATGCCTCAGCAACAAAGTTTGGTAATATGAGTAGTACCTTGGAATTAAGATTTGGTGTAGGCACAAAAATTATAATCATATTATTGTTATGTGAATTAAAATTATATAATAATAAATTAAATTTAGAATACATATCTCTTGTTGTTATTTAGAATATCTTTCTTCTGATTTGCGAATAAAAAGAACTAAATTCGTTTTCTCCGGTCTTTATATCATTCATATGATTTAATAAAATAAAAACTATGAGATGAGAACAGATTCATGATCTTTCTATATATAGTTCATAAGAGATTCTATGTAATAACAAAGAATTTAAGATAATTAATTAGATAATTAGGTAATTCCTAATCAAAAATTTTATCTGGGTTACCATTTTATTAAACAAAAATTTTAATAAGAATTCAGTGAGAACTATAATATATCCTATCCAAAGGTTATATAATATAACATTCTTTCACTTTATCACATAATCTAACATAATCAGCTCAGGATCCTTTCAACAAATCTAGATTAGATCTAATATATCTAGTGTAAATTATATATACTTAAATTATTTATAATAATTTAATCAAAAAATATAAAGATAATATAAGCACGAAAATACCATTTTAATGATAAAAATAATATAATATTAATATTTTAAGTTTTTCAAGAACTATTGATATTATCTCTATTTTACTTTTAGATCAAATATTTGTAAATCTAGCCGTCACATAAGATTTTATAATTAATAAGGACTGATACTATTTTTATGGAGGTGTGTTACTAAATTTAGATATATAATCCTAAACTATACTGATATTTAAAATAGTGTCATCCTACCTCATTATATAATTATTCGAAGTATATATTTTTTTGAGATTATCTAAGTCTCTTAATTATATATATAATTATAAATATTTATTTTTATTATCATTTAAGACTAATTTTATAATATATTTTTTTATAAATTTATTATTTTAAACCACTTTGGTAACTATATGAACAATACAAAAATATAAAATACATCTTTAATATCATGTAAATAGTAAATTATTTTTATAATTTATACCATATAAGCTTATTATCCCAAGCTATCATTAACACTTTGCAATACAACCATACGACTGTAAGACTCCTCATAGTGCCTAATGTCGTGATGCCACCATCACCCTCGGCCATCGTTAGAACTAATGCACATTAGCACTATGATTTTAAAATCATCTTTGATTTCAATTGTAAACATAAAAAGTATAATTATATTATTATTTTATAGAAAAATTTTAATATCAAAATTTGAAATCAAATAAAATAAATTAAATTTAGGATGCACACATCTCAATGTCATTCAAAATATATTTGTTCTTATTTGTAAATATACCATCGCATCCAAATAAAATGATCTACAAGGAAAATCAAAGTCATCTTTTGTCTTATCCTTTATAAGACTATTATAAATGATAAAATAAAAACTAAAAGAAAATAAGAATACATCTATAATCTCTCTTGAGAACCTAAAGATTTAAAATAAATAATTAAAAAAATATTTTCAGATCATTCGTAATAAAATTTTTTATTATAATTAAACTTTATTTTTATTGATTGATAATCTTAATCAGATTAGAACTATTATATACCTTATACAATTAACAAAATCACATAATCTATGATGCTAGGAATCCGTATATCAACTTGGGGGATTGGTCCTTCTCAGCCTTGAAGTAGATTATGATACACAATATAAAGTGCGGCAATATGTATCGGGCATGAATTGGCACAATGGGAGAGTAAGGCTGCATTCTTTGATTCTTGACTCTAAGAATAAAGGAAAAGAATCTTGAGTGAACATATATAAAAGAAAGAAACACTAAGCAATTACCCAATAAATCCTCATGTCCATATCTTGTTTGCATTCCAATAAAAAGAAAGTTCATTTTACAGAAGAAAGTTTCAGGCAGATAACCACATTATTACGACAACCATGAAAGCATATATAGCAGCACTATGATTTCTGTGTTTATACAACTGCCACTGGAGTAGAAAAGTGTGAAACATTCTCTGTGCTGTGCTTTACCCCTTAACATCGACAGGCGTAGAGAGGCTCAGGTTCGACTTTTCTTTGAATCCTGGTAGAACATGGTGACAAAATGATTAAAAGACATGCTGCTACCTCAAATTGAACAACCAAAAGGAAGATGAAGTTGATCTGAAATCTAAACTTCCTTAGAAAAACAAGTTAAATTATGCTCGTTTACAGGTGCTGAGCTGGACAATCTTTCTACTCCAAATGTTAGATCAAATAACATTGGAGATTTTACACCCAGAACTTTCTGTAATTAAAATTTCGATCAATGTGCCATGATACGTGTGCATTATATGCATAGCTATGTCAATCTCAAAGTGCAGTCCATGCATAAAACCAGTCTTCAAGTAGCAGTTACTCACACAAAGCATACCTTTACTTTAGTACCTTTCAGTTATAGAAAATTTGTTGTATACAGGATGCAACTGCAAGTTGATATGTGTAGCTGTTTAATTTTCAGTGCTTAACAATTTAAAACAAAGTAGAAAGGGGCAAAGCAACAAAAAACAGACATAAAAAGATTCAAATGAACTTGCCAACAACAAACAGAAAAGATCTACTTGATTTGATTGAGAATCAGATTGGTTTTCAAAGTCTCAGATGTTTTGGATAAGAAACAAACTAAGATACTAAATAGAACTATCGACCACAGAGATCTACATAAACCGAGGGATATCATATACTAACCAATTGTCCTTGGCCCAAACATGTCCATCTGTGTCCACCACATGCAAGCTCAAGGCATGCCTTGAATTGGGAGACTTGTTCTCAAAACTGCAATAAATTGTAAAAACATCATCAAAACAAAATATCTACAATTGCTGCCAAGAAATAATGATGATGGCCAAGAAAACTACCTTTGGTGTATAAGATCACCATGTATAACTACTAGAGAGCCTTCTTTTACTTCCACTGGTACAAATTCCTTGTCATCATAGGATGGTGAAGGATGATCGAAGTGGACCCCATTCTCGTCTCTAATAAACCTCCGCCTTAGACCATCTAAATACATGACATTACATAATTCAGAAGTACTATGATGGCGAGAACATAGAAGAAAACAAAGGAAGCGAGGAAAGAGATACTCTTATGTGAGCGAGGGATAGCCCAGAGACAACCATTAGTGATAGTTGCATCCTCTAGCGCCAGCCACAGTCCTGTGCATGATGGAGGCTCTGTATAGAGGAATGAATTATCCTGGTGTGGTACTACTTCTCCGCCAATGCCTGGTTGCTAGATTGCCAATTGTACACAGATCCCAATCAATGATAAGTTGGTAGTATATAACATGTACAAATTAATTAACAAACAAAAAAGCAAGTAACCACATGGATAGAAAATTTCTAACATAATAAGACCTAATATTCAGAAAATTTAGTTGTATTTAGCAATTAATTGCTTCAAAATATGACAATATTTGCACTGTAGCAATATTAGCTGCTTGACAACTTCATATAAAAATGGCATTCCTATGCAAGTTGTTCAGCTGAAAGCTGCCAGGGTTTAGTTTCCAATTTTTAGAGGTCTTGACAGATTTATGAGACAAAACTGGTTATGGACGTGGATAAAGTTCTCTGAACAACAGAAATTATGTTTCAGATGGTTCATCCTTCTGTTGAACAATGAATATTTGTCCAAAGTTCCTTGCAATTTTGTGAGCAATGATAACTGTCTTTATTGCATTCTCCAATTGCTCAAATACTTAATTTTCCATGAGCTACCATGTACATGTAGCAAACCCCCACTTACATAACCCTAATCCAACCTAATTAAGATGAGAATGAATTACACAATATTTGTCCCTAATTACTGGTCATATTTTGCCTATGGAGTCCCTTGCCTCCTTGAAGGAATCTTACACAGTTAATATTATTCTTCATGTATTACATTAGTTCCTTTTGCTTCAACCTCATCTCAATAGCAAGTTTTAGGTACTCTTTATAATATTTTGTCAAAATTTTCGTTTGTTTACAGCATGATTCTTGTATGAAGAAGGTATAAGAGCTAAATGACTACAATAAGCATGCTATCCATGCTTGAAATATAATGGGCAATATGCATTTTCAATATTTCAAAAGGTCACAGATAATTTTCCTCCTTACACCACAAATGGTGAAAATCATCGTCCCCAGACAAAACTTCTTGGTTAACTTGGATAAGATCCTGCATGCCCTCAGATTTTTCTCTCTTATGAATTGATTCACGAGGTCCAAATTAACCTGTCAGTCCTCATCTATACACCAACCTTTCTGGTCTGTACTCAGCCTGCTCTCTTAATCATGGGTATTGAGGCATTATATTGATTCAACATCATTCCCAGCCAAAAATGCCTAAACAAGATGAACAAGCATAAATTACAATAACAAAAATAGTGAACTATGGAACCTCAACGGATATATCAGTGAAACTTTTATTATGGCTGAAATTACATGAATGTCAAACACAAGAAATAAGATCCTTACCTCCTGCCAAACTTGAATCAAAAGCACAAATAGAACTACTAACAAAGTACCTTAAAGATGTACATGGATTGTATAACTACAGGTCTCTTGTAATCCAATGAGTAAAGCATGCCTGAGATTTTATCTGAGGATGTAAACTTTTTGAAGATAGGATCTATTTCATGTAGAGCTGCAGAGGAAAGAGGAGAATTAGAAATAAATTCTCTTGGAAAGATAAAAAATCTAAAATATCCTTGTAAAACCTATAAAGATATCTACAACCAACTATAAACAAACACATTTTATCCTATACTACATGAAATGACAATTATGTATCACAGCTAGCGGACAAACCATGGCCAACTTTATTTATAGAGAGCTCCTTTGGTTGTTTTAAATGCCCATCTTCTCCAAATGCCTTCTCTGCAATGACCATCAGAAAAGCTTTTCAGGATACATAGCGAGTAAGAAAATGAGCTGAAAACAGTGTGATTAAAACATACAAATGAAGAAAATGGAAAATAGAAATGAATGCAGCAACCTACACAACTGTATAAACACAGAAGTGGAGAACTATGTCAGGAGGAAAAATAACAGGATACACAAGTCATCAAATATCTTTTGTTTGTACACCATATATCCTACCACACCATGACAGAGAGAGAAGTAGGTGGGTTGGGTGCATAAGCACCTCACACCCACTTGTGATTTCATGTTCTCTGAAAATAATGACAGCACCACTCTACTATAGCTCACCTACTCTGCACACAGAAATTCCTAGTATACTAACTACATGAACAAATATCTCTGTCTTATACGGTAAACAATAACAGTTGTTTCCCAATAATTCCTGCATATACTTTTTACAACCAGAGTATTTTCCAGGTAAAGCACAATCAAGATCTTCAATAATGTTTACGACACTTTATCTGATCATGCAAGCTTGCAGCAAAAATTTTTTGCATCAAACACTCTGGCATATGCTTCTAGAAGGATACATCTGATCATATGCTTTGAACCCACCAATGTCTCTCAGTTGTAGATTTACAATAACAGCTTACCAATGGAAAATATTTATAGCCAGAAATAATTAGTCCACACTACTCATTTAGTCCTTGTGAATAACTGATTCAAAGATTGCAACATACAAGCATGGGGGTACTGCCATACTAAAGCATTGCTCCTGAAGATGCATCTTGTTGCCTACAGAACCCATTACGAATTTAAATCAGTATTTGTCAGGATTCCCCAACAGAATCTCTATGCAAAATAATCCATTTCCCGCTTGCTTTCCAATTTGTGAATCTTCTGCTTTTCAAAAGAGAGCATCTCAGATCATTATAATAGACTTCAAATTTTCTAAAATTTAGCGCACATCAGATTACACAAAATGCTGCCCATTTGACATCCTGCTATCAGTTCCACAATGGAAGACAGAAAACTCCACTTTAACTGTAGCGCTTGAAGTCTTTGAATATCAAGCCAATATCGGTTTTCAGATGGTTGAGTGGCATTAGCATAGCATCCTTAGCAATCCGCACACTGCAACAGTACCACAACCGCTTCCTTAACTGTTACTTGCCAATATCGATTGCCATTGTCCGACCCTACTTGTCGCCCCCTCGATGTCGTCCTCTTAAGAAACTCTTTAGAGGAAAAAAGAAGATGTGGAAGAAGGGAAAGAGGATGATATTTACGCCCATTTATAAAGGAATAATTTAGAAAGATTAATAATTTTTAAAGTAAGATGGTAAACAGGAAAAAAGGATTGCAAATAATAAAGGGATTGTAAATAGTAATCTCCATAAATTTTTGTGTCCACACTATAGCCACGGAATTCTTCCTTGCCTTACATATTAATGAAACAAATTTTCCGACAAAGAAACTATTTTTGCCATGACAAAACAAAAAACGCATAGTTCAACGAGCACAGACCCTCAAAGAAGAAGGAGATCTTTTCGGCGCTCTCGAAGAAGTAATCGTCCGTGTGCTGCTGCTAAATTAACGAAAAGAAAACAAATGATCACATACAAAAATCTTTTTTTTTTCCCTTCCGTTTTCCCTATCAGAGCCACAACTACTAGGAACTTCGTGCAGTTCTAATACCTGGTTCTTCGTGGAGAAGATGGACGCAATGGAGCCGTCGAACCCGTCCAACAACTCCGCCATCCGATCCCTCATCTCTCTGACCTCTTCCGGGCTTGAGAACGATTCGAGAACCAAGTACCCTGCGATGAATGACAGTAATTAAAATTTTTCCAAAAGATTACCACGTGCCACTGGATCTGGATTTCGATTGAGGAAGGATCGGTTGGGGATTGATACCGTTGGTGTTGAAGAAGTCGAGCTGCTCGGGTGTGAGATTACCGGCGATTCCCATGGCGCTCGCTCGCCCTCGTCCGCCCGCTTCCTCCGCCCAAGGATCGTCTAGCTTTTCGTCTTCGTCGGCGCCGCCGGCGTCGTCTCGGAATACGAGGCCTCCCTTATCAAGGCAAGAGAGGTCAACACCGAGTTACTCGTGTCGCGTTTAAAAATCACTTAATTAAAAAAACACAACAAAAAAATAAAAAAAGGTGATTTTACAAATCCATCCTTTTGGTAAAATAGAATTAGTATTTTTAAAATAAAACTAGATTTTTGCAAATGAAAGGACTAAACTTGATCTGATTGAAGATATAATGATCTAATTGAGTCATTAAAATTCAAAAAGAACTAAACTTGATCCATGAAAACAGTGATTACTATAATCTACATCATTAACTATTATTAATTATATTACATGTATTTAGAAGAATAATTTTGAAGGGATATTAATGTAAATTAGTGTGTCCGCCGTCTTCTTCTTGGACACGAATGCTTAATCTGTTTGACGTGTCACGAGGATATCGTTGTGACGGCTGATTTGTCTCTCTGGCGGGAGCCTTGTCGACCGTCGGATTTGAATACGGTTGACGATGGCGGTGGGACTCTGCTTTGTGATTCGTGAGTTGACGATTTAAGCGGATATCCCGTCGTTCGTTTGCACAAGTAAATTTCGTAAACCAAAATCCCCAAATCCGTGCGGAGAGAGAAAGGGAGATGCAGCGGCGGATGGCGATGACGTGGCGGAGGGTGGGGAAAGCGGCTCAGGCGCTGGTGGCGCAGGGCTTGCTCATCTGCTTTACCCTCTCCCTTGCTCTAAAGATCGATGGCCGGACGCACTACCCTTGGTGGTCGGTAAATTTTGATTCCCAGTCATCTTTCCTTTCGTTTACCTTTGAATTGCTGTGTCTTCTTTGGAATTGGGATTATCTTATCAAATTACTGGGGTTTCGGTTGTGTTCTCGTGGAACACGAGTGGAATTGTTGGGACACTTTCTGTTATGACACGCAAGAAAATGGGTTTGATTTGGAGCTTGGTAACAAGGGATGAGCGTAGAGGATTGACATCGGCTGTGACTTCCATATGCTCTATTTTTCCATGTTGCTGTGCTTTGGAGACCATGGATTTAACGTTAAGAACGCGAAATAGAGTGCTAGCTCGACAAGATCTCATGATCAAATTTTATGGTTGTATTCAGCAGCAGTGAAGGGCTCAAAGTATCACAATTTTTTAAGATTTTTTTTAGTGTCATCCAATATTGCAGATTAATTAGGGTACGCATTATTGATAGAAACCTTGTAGTTTAGTTGCTAGTGAAGGGACGCATTCATCATAGTGCCTTCTCATGTCACACTTTACAATATATGATTTTTTTGTCCTACCTCTTATTTGTCATGATTTATTTGGGATCCACAGCAATGCTTTTAACTTAGATATTATGGACATTATGCCACTTATCCATATGTAACTTAATCCCAGTATTATTCACAATAATGACTTTATTGTTGCTTTCAATCCTTTATTTGGAGTATTGTTAGTGCGATCTTTTCAAATAAGATATGAGCATAAAACCTTCACTTCACATGCTTGTAATTTTTTTCTGCACTTAAATCTCTCCCAGAAAATATTTTAATGAATAAGTGTTAGAATGCATTGGGAAAAGATGTCTTGAATTGGTGAAATTGACAAACAACAAAATCTTCATTTTCCTCTTTATGTGAATCAACCAAGATATATTTTGATATCAAATAGGAGATTGTAGAAAATTTAACAGTGCACAAGTCAATAAGATAAGTGACAAAATAATAAGCAAACCATTAAATAAGTGATAAAATAATAAGATTTACATGAAAAAGCCTTCAAGGTCGAGAGAAAAAGCATGAGCAAAGTCAGATCCAGTCTTCCACTATAAAAATAATCGGATTACAAATGATTCTTACTATACTGACTAGAGTATATCAAATACCATTAAATACAGACACTCATATGAGCTTGAAGAAATTAGAGAGAGAACTGTATATGAGAAAAAATCTCAAAGACTAATATCGAACAAGCATGGTGTCTAAATCAACATACCAGAATGTTATGATAATTGGACCTGATTTTGAGTATCCAATTATTGATAATTGGACCTGATTTTTCCCCCCTCTTCTAACACCTCTCTTAGGTTTTGTATTTTGTCAGTAAACCCCTAGGGTCTTACTGCTTAACAGATGATAGTACCACCAACAAATCTCTCCCTCATTCCCATGTGGGAAGTTCCTTCATGCTTGTTATTTTCGTGTATAGAGGAACTTAGTCATCATGTATTTGAAGCAATATGTTTTTGTGAAAACAATGATTTACTCATCACATTTAATCCATTCTCATCATTATGAATTTTCTCATCATGCAATAACTTCATATCTAGTATATCTCGGATTCAGTAATATCTAACATCAATATGCTTAAGATATGGAATGAAAAATTAGATTTTTATTAAAATGGGTAGCACTTTGACTACCACAGTGTAAAATAAACTTCTCTTGCTTAATTCCCAACTCTTGTGTTACTTTTTCATAGACAAGAGTTTTTTACAAGCTTTTGTTGCACAATATACTCAACGTCAGTGAAAGACAAAGGCTACCTCTTATGGATGAGGATATTGTTGCCACAGAAGAACTATTTTGGATGAAATAATTCCTAGATGAGTTGAAACATAGGCAAGAGAAGTTTATTCTCTACTGTGGCAATCAAAGCAATATCCATCTCAGTAAAATTAACCTTTTCATTTCAGACCTAAGTATACTGATGTCAGATATCATTGGATTTGGTATACTTGAGTTAAAGGTATTGCATTTTAAAAAAATACATATTGATGAGAATGGATTAGATATGATAACCAAGGAAGGCAATACCGAATGATACCGCCCGATATGAGCTGTACGTACCGGTCCGACGGCATATCGGTACGCAGACCATCCGTTACCGGGCGGAACG